CGCAAATAAAATCACCGGGCCGAATTTAATTTTTGGCAGAAACAATTTGTGTTCGCTTTTAAAAAATGTTAAAGAGAACATCAGAATACTATTCCCCCCACACATAATATTTATATGTTAAATAGTAGAAACGAATAGGCTTTATCGCCTTGGTTGGTACTCAAGTTATCAAAAGGAAAATTATAACTTCAAAACGGCGAAGTATGCAAGGGACAAACCATAACATTATCTTTCCTAAGAACAACAATGACTGTCCAATTTTTAAATAATATAAAGGATGTTGTGGAGAGGCATGGTTGATTATGACAATTTTAAAGACAAATATATAATCATTTATTCCAAATATGACAGTTCTATGCTACAATTTTTAAAAATTCCCTCTATATATAATTATATAATAATATATAATTATATACAATATAAATAAATACTTCCCGACTTTAAATAACCTGAAAAAGTTGATAAGCCGTAAAACGCAAATCAATCAATGTTCTCTGAAGATTGCACAAATCGACAGATACCTGAAGAAGGTTGATGATTTAAACGTCGAAACGATTTAATAATAATAATTAGCAGACGTTTTCATAGCATCATAAAAAGTTTTGCATCATAGAAACTGTATTTGCAAAAAAAGCTGCTATTACTGAAATCAAATTTATAATTAATAATAATGATAATTTCTTTCTCAATTCTTGGGACGTGGAGTTATCATTATTTAAATGCGGACGAATGTCCTTATCTTTGTTGCTATTATCACAACGTTTCGATCGTTGTAACCCCCGACCTTCTCGAGATATACCTCACTCTGACTAACCTTCAGAAAATTTTTATTGATTTGTTGTTGTTTTTTGTTTTTTTTACAGCGTATCTGCCTTTTGCAGTTTATTTAAAGCCTGATTGTATTTTTTTTTATATTGTAAGAATATTTAGAGATAATAATCATGTAGTGATACAAGTTTTACTAAGTTTTCCATAGCTTCAATGAGAAAAGGTTGATTTATGCCTTTACACGAATATTTTCTTATAAGTGAATGCATTGAACCAAATTGGATATGGAACACGGCTCTCCGTTTGTGATTTCCGAACCGTTATCATTAGCACCACCCCAACATTCAAGCTTAGAGCACTAAGTATTACCAAGTAGTCACCCATATTGGAATTGATCAGGTTCTACATTGCTTAACTTCAGTAATAGTGTGAGAACCAGCTGAGAATTTAAAATTGAATACTTTATCTAATCTAATTGCTTTAGACTGTCACTATCATTCCATCCCTTAACATCTCTAGACATGATCAGATTAAATCCGTAGATTAAATAAAGTGTACAGATTATCTGAAGGTTAGGTGAATCGAAAGAAAACTGAAAGAAGCGGCCAGACATAACCGTCAGATGTTTAGGATAGTAACAACAAAGATGAAGATATTAAACTGAATATAAATAATGTAAATCCTATTATAGTTACGTTTTCTTTTCCTAGAATATGATGGAGGTTGTGGGGCAATTAGTGACATCAATTTCACACTAAATTCATGTTAGATAATTAAATGTTATTTTCAGTAAATATTTCCTCTGGATGATTTCTGGCTTCCATAGATAACTATAGTTTCACAAAGTTTTATTTGGTTCTTAATTAAATACAATTACAATCGCCCTGACAACACATTTATGATACATAAAATGTAGCAGAAAAGTTTTGGCAAAAAAACGCTTTGGCTTTCGAAGAATCGCAAAAAAATAATTGTGCGCCTTTCTCAGAATTAATTTATTAGCTCACCACCGGCCAGAAGAACATTCTCTTCCTGAAAGGTTTTGCCAGGTGTATATATATATATATATATATATATATATATATATATATATATATATATATATATATATATATATATATATATATGTATGTGTCTTATAATAATAATAGTAATAATAATGGGAACATCAACAATTCTTGTTGTAGTTGGAGCTCTCGGATTGGTTGGAAATGATTCCAGTTGAAGGAAATACAAAAATTGTTTTCACGAGTACAGCTCACAACTTACGAAGGTCTTTATCAATGTAAAATATGTATGTGTGTGTGTGTGTTTCGTTTTTGTTTTGTTTTTTTTTTTTAATTGATCAGTGGCAAATGACATAATTCCATTTTTTACCTTAGGTCTCTAGGCAGGACCCGGAAAGATATGTGTACATACCAGAAATAAAAGAAATATAATAATAATAATAATAATAATAATAATAATAATAATAATAATAATAACAGTAAAGAATCAATTTAGTCTTGACTACATAAAATTTCCTTTAAATGTTAACTTATTTTGCCTAATCTAACTTGCTGGGCCAACGGAGTTATATTCTACTTAACCTCCACACTAAAAATGTTGATGACATGCACTAATAGGTTAAATAGTCTCAACATGCACGCTTAGTGGAAGTTAATGAAACCAAAGAAGCCATGAGACGTACTAATAATTAAATACAGAAATTGGTCCCAAATATTTGACATATAATATTATTATTATTAATTCTATGATTAAATAATATTTATGGGAAGTGTTTCTCGTTGTAACCCAGTCATTCCTGTTTTCAATTTCCTTCCCTCATTGTATTCATTAGGTTTTTACACAAATTCAAATATGTTGATTTACCCTGGAATTTGAGAGACAATATCTTTTCTTAGTACTTGAACTAACCACAGTACTGTAATAGTTTAACTATTGCCCTTTTCTATATGGTCACAATTCGTAAGAATTTTGTTCCTGCATTAGGAAGAATCTCTGAAATCTCTGGAAAAAACGGTCGGTAACTTATAAGGCTATGGAAAGTAAATGCCTCCATTTGCCATGCACTGTCTTTACAAAGAGCGAAATGAAAGCAAAAATTAATTATTTCTACAATATATGGTCTGAAGCTGTCCAATCCTCTCTTTCTAGCTTAGACGTAGCGCAAAAACATTGACTTGGCCTTGAATTATTTTGAACCGTGCACCTTCTTTTGCACAAAAGCAACGTCACACGCCTATCGCTACTCTAAATTATTCTGACGAGTTATATTCTCTATAGTCCGTAGTTCAGACCTCCGTAGTTCAGAAATTTCGAAACTGAGACCCGCTATGCTATAAACCGAGGAGCGAACCATCATCATTAATTTTTTATTCCATTAATAAAATGGAAGTTTTGTTCTTCTGTTACTTGAGTGAACATACTCCCAAGAATGTGCTTCTTCAAACAACACAATCTTAACTATTTCAAATCAACTGTCAACCGTTTCCTATCTTACGCGCCCTTTATAATCCATGATGAATTCTCGGTTACCCTCCGTCCATACATTTGTCGGAGTTAACTCCTCCTTCACTCCGTTAACCCTTACACCAGGGGTCTCTCTTCCCTGGCTATAAATAGTCGCTCACTCTTCACCTCTATCTCTTTTTCCTTCAGGCCTGTGCACTGACACCTTGAGGTAAACTCTCTTATTCCTAGAGAATTTTCAGCTATCAACCTCGAAATGTAGTCGCTAACAAGGGATAGCGTGGAAACACGCTAAGCACAATATTCACACATGCACGCACACACAGAATATTCACACACGCACGCACATACAGAATATTCACACACTTCGTCCTTTGTACTGTTTCCATGTATTGTAACATTGTTATTAATATATATTTGTATATACACATATTATCGGTCTTGTTTTGTTTGCTTTCTTTACCTTCTACTTGATTATTTCTCTTGTTGTTGTCTTTGTTACATTTGATATTGTAAAAATTGTAGAGGGTCGGTTTTTATTTCTATTTATAACCAATACAAATTGGCTGACCCACTATACATTTAATAACTCTCTAACCTTAGTGGCTCTTAGGGCTTATATCTACTAAATATTTAATAAAATATTATTATATTATTCTTATCGCTGCTGTTAGATTTAAACTTCAACTTATACTATATCGACCATGGTTATAACATTAAGATTAATTCGGGCGTAAACTTTTCTGATTGTTTAATTTCAGAACAATTTTTTTTAAAAGTAAAAGTGCATTAAATTTTATGTTATACAATATTTTCAATGATCTGTTGCATAAAGTTTCATGACATGCTCTAATATGGAAAAAGAGAAAAATATGTAGTTCTTTATTATTTTTTTTTTCTCCTTGCACATTTGGATGTTTGTACTTATTCGTCGTCTTTTCCGATCTTTCTGTCTCTGACGCTGATACATTTAATGCTATCTCAATATCGCTATCGGTCTACAATGTTTGCTTATTTTATCTGATATTTTCTGAATTTCTTTCTGTTTGACACCTTTTCTCTCTAACACTGTGTGTTCCTGTTTGGAACTCATATTGACTCAAATTCATTTTCTTTGGCCCTTAACTTCTTATTAATACGTTGTCTTTATCGATAAGTTTCATTTCCTTTTATTCTAGCAATCCTTATTTGATTATGTTTCGTTCTCTCCTATTGAATCCCTAAAAAATACCCTCTCTCTTCATCTGAACGAATTCTTTATTTCCCTCTTCTCTGTCTATGTCAGTAATTCCGACTTCTCCTGCTATGTTATCGCCATCTGTCTATTTATCCCTCCTCCTCACTAGCTCACCTTCTCTCCTGCTCAACATTTCACTGGTTTCCTCCCTTACTGCCAATGGCGTCTTTCCTCCATTTGTTTAATTTTTATTAGTGTCATTTTGTCCTGCTATTTATTCTTTTTCTGCTCTTCTCTTTGCGATTTTAACTTGGCCATTTCTTTATGTAGAAATCATTTTGTTGGGATTATTTGTGTAAGAATGTGTACGTTACGCATTCGCAGTTAAATTGAAAACAAAATTAAAATGAGCGATTAAGTTAGTCCAGCAGACAAAATGACATGTCTTTTTTGTAAACTGTGTCGATGTTCTCCAAAACGAATCCATGATTTTCTTAAAAATATCTAATTAGTTATGTGACGGATTTAGTTTATTTTATTTTCAATTAGGACATTTTGGATTAAGAAATAAGAAAAAGATAAAATGTTATGTTATGACATAATCACTTTCTCCTTGTTGTTCTATCTAACTATCTATGTATCTATGTATCTATCTATCTATCGATCTATCTATCTATCTATCTATCGATCGATCGTTCGATCTGTCGATCTATCTATCTAGCTAGCTAGATATCTATCTGTGTCTGCTTAAATACATTGGTTTATATAAAGCCTGTAGCCTAATGATCGAAAAACATTTATTTTGGACACACACACACACACACACACACACACACACACACACACACACACACACACACACACACACACATATATATATATATACATGCATGTATATATACACATACATATATACACATATATATATATATATATATATACGTATACACGCATATATACATATATATACACATATATACATACACATATATACCCATGCATATATATATACACATATATAAATATATACACATGCATATATATAAATACATATATACATATATATATAAATATTTGTATACATACATATATATTCATATACATATATATATATGTATATGCATATACATATGCATACATATAAACACACACACACTCACACACACACACACACACACACACACACACACACACACACATATATATATATATATATATATATATATATATATCAGTATTACTGTTGTTTCCATTCCTGTTGGAGTACGCATGTTTTCAGACAAATATCTTGAATATTCAGGCTGGTAAATGTAATTAATACTGTTTAATTAAAAAAAGACCTCAAATAAGTTTTATTCATAAATATATCGTATAAACCTAATATATATTAAAATATTTGTTGGATTTAATCCGTTACATAGATGTTGTCATTGTTTACGTTAGATTGGTTTTCGGAGGCGTAGTGAACGATTGAGAAGGAACAACAAATAGTTGTGCTAAGAAGCATTAAATTGTGCGTTGCTAAATCGGAAATGCTCTGAAACGGCTAACAGAACGTCCGGCTACATGGGATACAGATTCAATTCTTGGCAGAGTATTCGTTCAGAGGATGCATTTTTTCTTTAAATTTCTCGAATATTCAGCATGGTAAATGTAATTGTTACTGTTTCATTGAAAATAACGCATTAACTCAAATAAGCTGTATCCATAAAAATAACTTATAAAAAGAATATATATTATAATATTTGTATATACATACATATACGCATATGTGTATATATATATATATATATATATATATATATATATATATATATATATATGTGTGTGTGTGTGTGTGTGTGTGTGTGTACTGCCAGGTAGATCATGAATGTGGGACTTCCATGGCAAAGATACAAAGACAAGCTGATGAGCAACTTATTAACAGTCAATATAGATCATAACAACCGCGAGCGCTTAGCCTTGGAGCGGGTAGAATGGAGATCAAAGTGTTTTAGTGGAGTTTTCAATCTTCTTTATGAATTGTCTACAAAAAGTGAGTCCAAGATCAAAAATGTCAGCCAATCTAACAGTGATCTCGTCCCACAATCCTCTTCTTTTTCCATATGCGGCCTTCTTTGTAAATCAGTAGGGGGTCTTAAGTACCACTTAAGATTATCGCACAAAATTTCATAACTGAATCAATTGGTTAAGTTGTCAGAACCTCATACGTCGAAATTGTTATTATCATTATATATATATATATATATATATATATATATATATATATATATATATATATGTGTGAAAATATAAAGAAAAAAAGAAAGAACTCCTTAGGTAAATAACCCAAAGTTCTTTAGTATTTTTGTTATCATTTTTAAAAAATAGTGCTCGATACAAAAGTAGAGCATAAATATTATTATTTATTTAAAAATATGCTTCCAACACGCTACATAAGAGTTCTCATGTTTCAAAACAAGAACCGAAAAATTCAATATAATCATTTGAATTAAATTGAATTAAAGTACTAAAGCTCTGTTCTGTGACACTATTAAAGGTTGCGAAAAAAAAAGAAAAGGCGAGAATTAAATTAACTGGGTCGTGCTCTGACCGCGAAAAATGTCCGCTGGACCACCCGCAGAGTACAAGGAAGGAAAGATTAACCCTTTAACTATCTGCGGAAATATCATTTGAGAAGAGCACCTGTTTTGTGTCAGAGCTGGCCATGATAGCAAAATTATTTTATCGGAACGAATAATTGGCACCAGGGTGCATAGTCGCCAGATGACCACCCACTTGATGCTGGCGAAAATCTCGATTGACGAAATCCAGACGTCGTTCGGTTAAGATAAGTGTCGTAAGGATTTGTTGTCGGGAAGAAGAAAAGAAAGAAAAGGAAAAAAAAGATTTTTTTGTTCTTTGATCGAGGTTTTTTAAACCGAGGCCAGTCTAGCCACACCCACGCTGCTGGGCGTCCATTGGCTGAATGGTGGCGTGAGCGGTAGGCGAAGGTAATCATGTGAAGAAAGAGGGGAGGCCTGTTGAAGCTCCCTGAAGGGATCGGTATGAGATGCCACTGTGAGAGAGAAAGGAAACCTGTTGACGCCTCTGAAGAGATTGGTATGAGATACCAATATGAGAAAGGAAGATTTTGGGAGGACAATTCCCTTAAACTAGAATTAAGGACTTCCAAAAATGGAAATTATTAAATTTTCCTGACCGAAAACAATGGAAATCCTTGATGCGGATTTAGAATTATCAAGGAACCTCAAACCCCGTCAGGCCCACCCCGGTTTTGGTCGGCGTCTATATAAGCAGAGTCGCAACGAGTAGACGGCAGTTGAGTTGAGTTGAGTTGGGGTTAGAAAGACAGGCACGAATTGAGCTGTGAGCTCTGAGACCCACCTCGCAGGAACCTGACTGAAAGATCCACGCATTCTCGACCTCAACTTCTAACCAAGAACAATCTATTTTTGAAGAACGTCCTGGCGACTCACACCAACAAAACAAGTTTTACGAATATCGCCTGAAGATACACCAAAACCAGTTTCTTAAAAGAACAATTTAAGATCTTAAGACTTGCCTAACAAACACTAAGTGTCACGAATCCATATAAGCGGGTTGGGAGGAAGACCAGTCCTGTATTCAGCAACCAGATATAAAATATTGTTATCCTTTTTTAACACATTTGAACTTTTCGAGTTATTACTTTATTTTCTTTTACATATACTTGTGTGGTATTACCCTTGTTCGGACTCGACTTGCATTACGGCCTGGCGACTGATTGATTTCGTCTACCTAAGAACAAATCACAACGTGGGTAGGTTAGACTAGAAATCAAAACAGTTACTTCGGTAACCAGATGTTGGAGGCGAGCTGGGAACGACAAGGCTGATACCGAATCTAACCAAATTCCCATCCGAATCAGCAAAAGGTTAGAACGTCACATTTGGTGCCGCGACCAATACCAAGTAACATTGGTCATCACAGGACAGGATAGGACGGCGACGGCGCGGAGACAGACGGGGTGACGTCACAATTGGCGCCGCGACCAGGACAGTGCGGCGGGCGCGGCCAGGCGGACTTCACATTTGGCGCAGCGACCCCGGGGTGACGTCACAGTTCCATCTTCAAGCGAAATTTTTTGGAATAACTTATTTCTGAAATTTACGCGTTTTATAAGCATATTCATTATTGAAATCAAAATTTCTATTGTAACGGCTAGAGCAATTGTTTAAAGAAAAAGGGTGTAAGGTGTTAATAATTTGTATCAATATCTAAGTTACATTCACAGATGTCAAGTCAGGGTAAGTTTAAGGTGCCTAAATTTAAAGCGGAAGATGACATCGTCTAGTCTGGTTGAGTGTCTATGGAGTTTTATTTATTCTTTTCTTTTATTTTTTATTTCTTTCTGAAAGGATTTTGTGTATATAAAAACTGTCGTAAGTCGCTAATATTTGTTTTTTGACGACATCATAAAGGTATATCTTTTTGTAGGGCATTTAAACTATTTTTTTAGGACTATGGAATTTAAATATTATTTTATTGTTTGTTTTTATGCTAATTATTCAATGCAAAAATTTGATGATGTCGGCAAAAAACCGTTAACTCATGTCTATTGATTAATAGATTTTTATTATTTAGAAACTTAATAATGTGTAGTTTTTCATGTAGGCATAAAGGGCATGAGTCATCACAAGTTGTACAAGTTCTAGTTTTGTTTATAATTTTCCATTTTACTTTTGGTGTTTTATTCATTTCCTTCAAATGCCAAAAATATTTAGATAGAGATGTCTGATTTCTTTTATTTACATTGTTGAAAGTGCACTTATGCTGCCTCCATCTGGGTTTAAATTCATTCTTCGTAGACCCAATGTATATCATATTAGTATTAAGACTCTCAATGGATGAGATAGTACATTGGTATACCATAGATTTTGCACGGCATTTATTTTCCAATGGGAAGCCTTCTCGGTTACTACAATCAAATAACTTTTCACTACTTTTGTCTAATTTAAGTGTAGGGTTTTTATTAATACTATTCAAGCATGGGGATTTGTTCAGGATTTTATTATTGTTTTTTTTTTATTATACTTTCTAGATTTTTAGTGCAGCTGTAACTTAATTTTAGGGTGTTTTTATTAAATATTTTACTAAGTCTACTATTGGTAGGAAAGTGTTTTTCAATTAAAGCTAAGAATTTCTGTCCTAGCTTAATACTAACCATTTGGTTGAACGCAGTGGTATACCAAATGATTTTTCTTTTCCTGTTTTTTCCGGTTAGTACAATTGTTTCTATAATTGATGTTAGCATTTTTGTATCCATACAAAAATGATACAAAAAATGTCGCTTGAAGATGGAACAGAGCTTATTACTTTAATTCAATTTAATTCAAATGATTATATTGACGTTTTCGGCTCTTGTTTTGAAACATGTGAACTCTTATGTAGCGTGTTGGAATCATATTTTTAAATAATTATAAATATATATATATATATATATATATATATATATATATATATATATATATATATATATATATATAAGTATTGTTATCGCTAGATCAATCTATACATGTTTTGCTGTTTTATGACTCTTTAAGTCAGTCATGGATGTCATTAGTGATTTTCTAAGCACAGTGTAGATGTGACACAAGGCCGAAAGTACGAGGCACCCGGTGAGGATCGAACTCACTACTGAGTTGTAATTGTTCTAACGTGACAACTTGCTAACCATTACACCACGTCGAGGTGCCCAATCATGGATGTCATTTGTTACCAAAAACGTTACAGCTGAAAAGATCGATGGCGTATTCTGCTGCTGCTGCTTCCTGGGTATTGTAATGATTTCCATGTGCCTCTCTTTAGGCCTCCCATTGAAGCGCACTCTTTTCCACAACGTCTACATATTTTGAGACAATCCTCAATATAATTAATAGTCTTGCGGTTCATGTGACGTCACTCGTGACTTTTGAGGCCTGCTTAGGCATTTGTTACAACATTGAAGACATGTGAAATCCCATTCAATGGCGACATGTGAGATCAAATACAATGGCAATATATTTAGCTTCTCTGAGATTTATTTTCAACTCCACTTAGAAAATCTGTTTCGGAAGTCGCTGATCTATTCTCACCACAAAACCGCACCCCCTAACACGATGTTGCAGGTTGATGCTTTCAATGCTCATGCACTTACAATTGTGAAGTACTTCACCATTTCTAATGAGCATCTGCCAACTAATTCCGGCAAACATTCTCAGAAAGTCTCGGTGAAAACGAAAACTTTCTAACATATTCAAGTGTTGCTCATGTCTCACAAGCACAGAGGAGGGTGAATAGAACACAAGTCTTATATACCCTAACATTTAGCTTACGGTCAAATCACGCTGAAACACCGGTTCTCGTACGATCACCGAAGTTAAGCAGCGTAGAGCCAGGTCAGTACTTAGATGGGGGACCGCTTGGGAACACCTGGTACTGTAGGCCCCCAAAGTCAACCCTTACCTCACAGTCGGTGGGGGGGTGTAAACGGTAGTGTCAGAGCTATGCCGCCCGGAACTTCGTTCCTGGTAGTGCCACCCAAGGCGGACAGGTCTGACACACACGCCGGCTAACAAGGGCTCTGGTGAAAATCCAAGGAGCGTCTGCATCGGTAACCGGCGGCTTCTGGTCGTTCCTGTCTCTGCGTCTGTGGGAATCCCGCGGCAAGCAAGAACGTTATCCGAGTAGACCTGGGTACCCTACTTCTGTAATTTATCCCAAGAATCTTCTTCTCATAACAGGAAGAAGCCGGCTCAATCCGCCCAGGGTGAATGCCGCATCAGTACAGTACAGTACAGTAGTACCCTAACATTTGTGTCTAGACCCACGTCGTGAGCACAGTCGATCGTTTAGTTTGCCAAAGGAAAGTTTTTTTATCAATCCCAATCCCTAGTCTGACATCCATTTGCAGAAGATTATTAGATAGGTTAATCAATGTATTAGTATTGTTTATCAGCCAGCCATAGTTTACCGACTAGTGTTAGGAAGAATAATGCGTTTTAGCATTCCAGTAGCACACTTATATTAATATTTGTAATAGTGTAGCTATTGATACACTAACACTGAATGCGAATATAGAAAGACGAGATATGTGACCGTAACAAACAAAACATTTAAAAGGAAAACAACTTACAAACATTTATTAAAAGGATTTACATATGTCCCCAAACAAATGATTGATCATATTGTCTAAAGGATAGGGATGTTTACGGAACGAGAACAAGGAAATAACATACCAACTTTATGGCCTTTGATCGTCCGTAGATAAGTAAACAGAAATTCCCTTTTTTTCTCTACGCTAGGCTGTACACAAATGTTTTCCTTTCCCTACTTGTTTTTTATATATCCTGTGAGAGTCAAATTCTCCAAGACATCTTTCTTGCACTTAAGATCTCAAAGATTTCAACTTTCTTTTTATGATTCTAAGTACATGTGTTCTTCTTGCTTCTAACGTTACTTGAAACTTCCTCGTTGCTTACATTTAGTATTTATGGTAATTTCAGCATCCTTTTGTAGAACTACATCTCTGTTGCTCCATATTTCCTCTTCGTCTGGGAAGAAATTATCCAATATTCAGTGCTATATGGGAGAATTCTTATTGAATAACCATTCATCAATCCATTTCCTGTTTCTAAGATTTTTTTCTGTCTCATAATAATTTTTTTAAACAGCATCTTTTGATATTCAGTTAGGCCTTTGCAATTTTGTCACACTTTCCTCCGTCTATTATTCTTATATCGTTAAAGTGTTGTACTTGTTGAAGCGAGCTCTAAATGATTAAAGGCTCGATTGCTTTTATATTTTGTATTTTGCTTTCCTTTTCGGTCCATAGCTTTCAATTCTTAATTGTTTCTAATAACGTCCCAGTTTCTTCCTATGTCACGTTCAGTTTTTGGCTCGATCGAAAAAGTACAGAATCTTTCTGAAATCTTCAACTTCTGTCCATAAACATACACAGAAAGCTCAACATATTCTTTGCCAGGGACAGAGTGATACATAACAACGGTTTTAACAAAACTTATTTTCAAACTCAGAGGAGGGCAAGCATTACAGAACAAACCAATCAAATGATGCATCTCTCATTAAGAACAAGCATATAAATCCCAGTCGTCAGTATACAGAAATTCTCGGATGAGGGCATTTTGTACACTTGTTTTGACAACAATACGCCGCTGTTTAAACATTTTACCTGACGTGCGATACCTAATGTAGATGTCATGAGGTTCATCCTTAAAAGCCACCGAAAACAACATTGAAAAGTATATGGCTAAAATTCTAGGAGCAGGAATGTCTCCTTACTTGACATCATTATATCTGGATAATGGTTTTGAGAGCTTACCATCAACATTTACCCAGGCTTTCATATTATCATGAAAGAGAAGCAGAAACTTTATGAAACTTTCAAGACAGCCAAACCTTCCTAAGATTTTGCAGAAAGCAGCTTGATTAACTGTACCAAAAAAACTTTTTTTTTAATTCAACAGACATGATAATGATCCATTCTTTTCTCTACACATTTCTCCTGTATCTTATCTACTGCGCCTCGACCATCAGGCAATAAGTCGTATGCTCTGTTGGTGAGCAGAAGGCCTAACTGGATTATACACAATACCTTACAAGAGATTGAGAGGAGAGCTATCCTGTGGGAGTTTCCTCGGGTTCTTTGCAACTTCCCCTTGTACAGAACAAAATTAAGGATATCCTATCAATTATGAGGGTCCAGTTCATCCTCTCACACTTCTTTCATTTGTCAGTATGCGGGGGAAGTTTTAACCACCATATTTCATAATTTCTGCGCATAGACAATTCATGCCGGGTGACTTCCCACTGTTCAGTTTTTTCAGATGCACCAGACAATTCCTCAATAGATGGAACCTTTTCTATCGCATGCTCGGTTGATTGGCATAGTATGACCCGGATGAACTCATTATCTATCTGTGAAGGACGATTCACAAGGTACTCAGACTGGCCAAAGCAACGCTCAAATGTACTCTTGGGATCACGCATCAACTGCCTACCATCATTAGAACTAATTGGTGCTGAAAGGGAAGCTGAAAGGACCATAGGCCTCACGCAACAAGCTATATAGTAGCTTGACGTTGTTAATGATAGAGGCAGCCTTCCTACTCCACCAGTTATCCTGCATTGATCAGAGTTTTACTCGTATGCCTATTAAAACCCCTTAAAGTGATTTTGGTCTTTGAGGAGAATTAGTCCTATATAAAACTGATGTTAAGACTCTTTCTTGTCTTAAATTATTGCACCAGTTTTTTCATCATTTTCATCAAAACAATCCTTGTATTTCTTTTCAACATAATCTGTACAAGCACTTGTCACTTTATTCCGGAAATCATACCAAATACTTTTACTTTGAATGATTTCCAATCTACTGTTAGTTCCTTCTGTATATTCTCATCCTTTATATGACTAACATTCAAGCATTTAGTGAAGAATCACACCTTTCGGTCTGTTCCTGGGTTTTATTAAAATGTTTGCCTTGTCGCGTACAAGACGATGGTCTATCCACCAAGTGGCACCAAATAAAAGCCGGACATGTCTAAGATCCTGCATATACCTCCTCCTGACAGGAACACAGTTAATTAAATGCCACTGTTTCAATCCAGGATGCATACAAGTAGTTTAAATCTATCCTTTTGTCGGAACATAATACTATCACTCTGTCTGTCTCTTTCTTTTCTCTATGACTCTCTGTTTATTATATATATATATATATATATATATATATATATATGTGTGTGTGTGTGTGTGTGTGTGTGTGTGTGTGTGTGTGTGTGTGTGTGTGTGTGTGTGTATTGATCGTTTTCCTTGCATTAGATATTTGCACTAGGTATTTACTATGTACTCCCCACTAAAACAAGTTGTGACACTAGGTCAGTTTTTAAGGTGAGGGAGCTAAGCGCGTACACCCGGGCAAGGAGCAAACGTTGCCCGCAGCCCCCATAACCCCCGGTTGCGCTGGTTTCGGTGTGAACAGCGATCTCCCCACTCTCTCTCTCTCTCTCTCTCTCTCTCTCTCTCTCTCTCTCTCTCTCAATGGTGCAGTGAGAGGGCGCGGCCTCGGGCAGCTCTTCTTCAGGGCTTGGAATCATTCATTATAATTTTCCTCATTTGCGACACTGTTCTTTGACGGAGTTGCCCCTGACTGCACTCTGCCCAAGGTCAGAGACGCAACTGAGAGATTATAAACAGATGTTACAAATCCCTCCGGAGAGTGGTTTACACACTGTATATTTGAATTATTTTATTACGTTCTTTATGCTTTATATCGTAAAAATGCATTTTCCATTATGCCAGCAGATATATAAAATATTTATAATGTATATACCTATATGTGTGTGTGTGTGTGTGTTTGCGTGGCAGCATAAATAGATAGTGAGAGAGAAATACTCAATAAATGACCAATGAAGTAATCTCATTGACGCTCTCTAGAGTTTCAAGTCAAATCGCACGACAAGGTCAGATTTATCAAGACAAGAGATGAGACACAAAACTCAGGAGTCGATCAAAGAGAGAAATCCATTATGATGGTTTGGTTTGGTTTGTATGTTTTACGACTTATCAACCTCAGTAATAATTCAATGCCGACAAATCTCCTATTGCTGGTAATGTTTTTCTTCAAAAAGCTATTTCTGGGAATATTTGTCCTTGAAGAAATCTATAGCTGGTCATATATTTCCCAAAGAATGTGTACTTGTTTGTATTGCTGATATTTTTTTTAAGTATTGCTAATAATAATTTTTCCTTCCAAAATTATTGCTGGTAATATTTTTTTTATTAGAAATTGTTTCTGGTATTAAAATCTATTTTGACACAAGTTTGTGTCTTGACTATTTGCCCATAGCTTTGATCCTAACAGCTGCTACCATCTTGGGTCAGGGTGGACCTGAGAACACCAACAATTAAGTGGTGGTTCCAGGCTCCTCAAACCCTCCTGGTCAGAGGCCATACTGCTGGATGTAGTTTATCGTCATACCCATAACGGGCATTACGAATTTTTTGATTTATTGAGTATTGAGTATAATAACTCCTGTTATCTATAAAAGTCTTTGGTGTATAAGATGAGCTGACCTAAAAATAGATTAAACTATTAAAAATGATTTTTCCTCGTTCTTTTTGGAGTATCATTATTATTATAGTTATTCACAATACACGGACGCGTGAATACACACAAACGCATACATACACACACACGTATATATATATATATATATATATATATATATATATATATATATATATATATATATATATATATATATATTTGCAAATGTCAATAATGCTTCAATTGCAGACGAAGCATCTTGACGTATGCTTAACTGCATTTCTCTTTGACTTATTTACTGGAAGGTAGACCAGTCGATAATTTTAGCCGGAAATGTGATGAATGTCAAATGCCTTGAACTGTCTCGTAGCTTCAGATTGTCTTGCTTTCCTGAAATTCCACGTAGATTATTCTATAAGTGCTTAATTAGCAGTACCGAATTGTTAACTCCATTACGCCGAGATTACATCTAATTTTATGGCTTGTAATTTCTCATTCATCTCATGGTATTGCCTATATGTAACTTTGATATTTCTGCTTGAAGGGAAACTCATAACTAATAACATGTCACACACCTCCTGAAATTGGCGTGTAATGGGCTGGCAAATGTCTTGCAATATTCTATCCATCACTATTAAAGAATTTTGAAGTATGCAGATGTATACTTATTTAGGTTTAAAGTTTCCAAATGGAAAAAAAATGAAAAAAAAACTGAATTCATTGATTCGAATATATTTTTATACTTATATTCGGCGGGAACACGTTCTTGTGTTCTTTTGTATTCTAAAGTGGGAAATTTATTCATAGGTTTTACTAAAGTTTACTTAATTAACGGTCCCGAGAGGCACACAAAGTAGAGGGTAACCGAATGAAATTAGTTTAGCGGTAGAGGAAAAATAAGGAATAGTGAATTTGGCGGAATTATCTTCAGATATTTCTGGTTCTTCGATATTTCTGGTTTGGTTTAGTTTGTTTTACAGCATATCAACACCTCATTAGGTTATTTAATGCCGGCAAGTTTTTTATTGCTAGTAATACTTTTTTCCAAAAATGTATTACTGATAATATCGTTTTCTTAAAAAATGTACTGTTGGTATTGAAACCTATTTTTACACGTTTATAGTGTTTTGAGCCCACTTTGGTTGTTAACTATTTGCGCTAAAGTGGGGTCATAACAAATGCTGCCACTCCGACGTGAACCTGGGAACACAAGCAATTGAAAGGTGGTTCCACGCTCCTCAAAAACTCCTGGTCAGAGTCCTTGCTGTTGGGCGCGGATGTAGTTTATCGTCATATCCAGGACGCGGTATTTCTTTGTATTGCAAGTAGTCCTCTACCCTTTCTGTGTTTGCTGTCAGCACTGTCACATACATGCATCCTACAACGTGCAACCTGACTAATAAGTTTGTATGTATGGATAGTGATAATCCCGGAATGGGATATATTTGTTCGAAGTAGCAAAGTGGTTTTGGACTACTGTAACCGAGTAGGAAAATCTAGCAGGTAACCGTAATGGACTGTACCTCGTCGTAGTGGTAGTCAATAGGCGTAGGCAATAGGCGCTCAATAGGCGTAGACCTGTACCTCCACATCAGTCTGTATTTATGGCTGACACCAGCCAAACATATTACTGTGAGGGGGAACTAAGATGTATGCATATTCATTACATCAGATAGCAAAGTGGGAATTGTAATTAATCAAACGTTGTTTATATTTAAAAGCAACCATATCTGATCGCTCATCTGAAATATTCCTCGATTGGTTTGTTTTCTACAACTTATCTACACTTTTCAGATTATTTAAATAAAGAATATATATATATATATATATATATATATATATATATATATATATATATATAATTAAATTGTAATAATTCTTGCAGGACATAATAATTATTTACTGATACAAGACCTAATAAGTAATCGATAACTGGCTAGGGAGAATAGATGGATTGTTACCTTTACCAAGGTTAGTGAATATAACGAAACTGTCTTGAAATTTTCAATTCTGAATCGACATCTATTGCATCATCCACATGTCCAAGCTTACAGCACCCATTATACCCACCCGAGAAAAAGTCTACATAGAAGAAAAATATATAAATTATAAAGATATGTACTTGCATTATTTACATTATTCGGACTTGAGAACACATGGCCCAGTAGATGGAAAGACGTTGGTTAGATCCAATGACTAGACCCAAAGAGTTGTGAGTTCAATACCAGCCCGCAGGAGTGGTGAACCAAAAAATTGGAGAGTTCAGTTAAAGGCAAATGACTGAGACATCCGGAAGAGACATGGCACGTGGAACTAGAACAATCTTCCCTGGTGGGTGAAATAAAAGGTTCGTTTCGAAATACGAATCACCTGAAGAAGGCTGGAGATTACAACGACCCAAACGTTGTGAATATGTCAATGAAGATGAGGATAACAGTCCGAATAATGTAAATAATGCAATAATCATAACTCATCTCAGATATAGAGATGCTGAAACATTATGAATATAGTATTGAAGCGGTCTATTAGGCTGGCATCTCGCTCACACATTTTCACTATCGAAACTGTTAAATGTAGCCGTCTCTTCTAATCCAATATCTTCATGTCTCGCACATCTCGTCTGTGGAACTCCCTCCTCTTTTCCCGTATTCCTGATAGCTATAATCTCCAACTATTCAAAAGTAATGCCAATCGACGTCGCCAGATGTCTTGATCTACCCCTTATCCTTCTCTTCATTCTTTCCTCTATCACTCCTATTTGCTCTTGGTCCAACTCTCTGTAGCTCCTTGCGTGTTAGTGGCTTCCCGCCTTACTTGGGGTGAAACGCTTAAAAAAGCAGATGAAGATAACAGTCCGAATAATGTAAATAATGCCAGTAATCTCAATACCTCATCTCAGAGATATAGAGACCGAAACGCTGTGAATATGGCAATGAAAATGAAGATAACAGTCTGAATAATGTAAATAATGCAAGTAATCACAGTACCTCACCTCAGGGATATAGACAGATAAAGCTATATACCTAAAACCTTTTTTATTTACGTTTTTTATTAAACAGTTAATTTATATTAGTTTCATGAATCTCAGATGTAAAAACATAAACAATATTTTACAATAAATTAATTTACGAAATATTTAAACTAAGCAAATATCTTCCCAAAATTTTAAAGAAATATCTGTTTCTAAAACATCCTCGAATTCAAGACAATTGTCGGTACGTAATTTCGAGATATATTTTCGTAACATTGAATAAAGGTTTCAATTATTTTCATTTATATTTTAAAGTAAGCTTTTTCATTCAAATACTTTATCTTTGAATTACAGTTTTAAATATACTATTACAATAAATATAATCTAAAACACAGCTGGTTTCAGAAAAAATGAAACAGCTGCTATCATCTCTATCTTCTTCAGACATCGGCTTCTGTGTGGGAGGAATGTACTTAGTTGATAATATCCTTCCTCTTGGATTTTGAAGAAATGAAAAGAAAGAATTCTTGACCGAATTGTGCCAACTGCCATCGCGGTGAGGCAAGATGGTGGTCAATATGTCGAGCGATCTTTTTCTTCTTCGTAAGTACGTGTTCCGCACTCGTTTCAAGTATTGTCTGGAGACACTTATTCTGTCGTAGAAGATGGGGCATTAAATCATAAATAGAAGCACGTTGCTCGCTTCAAACAGCTGACCATATCGATGCTGGACTTAAGACTTCAGTGGTCGGTGGGAGTGGCTGGACAAGTGGCAGTCAGTAGGCCGGACATTGACTGACCTCGACTGGAAATGCTGTCACAAGTGGGTGAAAAAAGCAAGACATTGATTATTTTTCATCCTTCTATATTATCTGTTGTTTGTTAACGTTGTCTTTACCTTTTGAATTTATATTTTACAGATTGCTTATTTTTTTCGTTATCTTTGGATTTAGATATTATTCAGTTTTTCTTTTAAATGTAAGCTGATTTATAAAACAAGCAACGGGAATCGATTTAACTGAAAATGC